TGTCACAGTCAAAAGCCTGTAATGAATGAGGGCTCAGCCTGGGAGCTGAGGAAAAGGAAGAGATCTGAGGATCTGAGGCAATGAAACTGCTAATAATTTCAGAGAACTAAAAAAATCGAAGTGAATAAAAATATTAAACTTTTAAATAAGTATGGCCGTAGACTGTGTGTCGGGGCTCTTTTAATGCTTTTTCAAAAAAAAGTAAATAAAGGATTTGAATTTTTTCTAAATTTCTTTGGAGGTAGGACTATATTTTCTTAAGTGCAACACCATTTTGCAAATGGACCACATACATCTCCAAGTTCATAAGGGTTACTTACACTTATTCTCTCCTCCTGATAGCTTGTAAGCTTTGTGAGAATAGAGAACATGTCTGTGTTGAGCACTGTTGAATCCCTACTACCTAGCTGGCACAGTGCCTGCACATACATTGTCTAATAAATATTCATTACATTAATAAAATCAGTACATCAGTTACAATTCATCAATCAATCAAAACTTTTGACTGAATCTCTACTATACATCTGGCATTGTCCTAGACACTGTGGGGGATCCAGAAGAAGTATATGTGGCCTCTTTCCTCAAGAATTATATAATCTAATTTTTAGGACAAAACCAATACACATTAAACAGCAAGAAAAATAAGTACAAAACATGAGGTACTAATTACAGGTGCAACTGGAGTTTAGAAAAAATGAGAGCATATGTTATATGGGCAGCAGATTCCGGAGAGGGTTTGGAAGTGGGCTGCGTCCTGAATGATGACTCAACTTTAGAAGGAGATCATTACAGATAGGAGAGAATAGCAAAGGAAAAAGCACAGATGTAACTCCAAGAATGATGTGGGAAGGAAAGGGGAAGGCGTTGGGAGAGGCAGGAAGAGTGAGAAATCTGGGCTGGATGAAGCAGAGACAATGAGGGAAGAATGAAGCTGGGAAGCTATAAGTGGTGCCTTCACAGAGAGGAGCTGTGAAGACACACTGAGGAAGGGGCTCTAATTGGCTGGCAACAGGCAGCCATCCACCCAAGAAAGGTCATTCTCTTTTCATATTCAGAACACCTCCTGCACAACTGGCCCCAGCCTGGTTTCTGACTTTCCTTGAAATAAAAAGAGTTGCTATTATAGCTCCAAAACAATTTCAAACCCAGACATCGTCAGGGATGCCCCCACAATGGAGCAAATCACAAATTCAGGTGAGAAGAAGGTGTGAAGAGCAGAGGTTGCCCCATTTTCTCTGGAGGACTTTTCATTATGTTCCATTCATCATCTGAAAGCTGCTCTGCCACTTCCCCTTTACATGACTTCAGTCAGGTGCCAACTAACATGGGTTTGTCCTTTACCCTTAGTTTCCCAAAAAGAAAAGAGGTACAAATCTCCAAACTTGTGGGATGAATACAATGATTTTCAGAAGGCCAGGCATGAGGAACAAGCTGAGCCATCAATGATGGGTGTACAGGTCAGGGTTTGGGGGAGGTTAATGCAGAAAAATTTTAATAAATAAGAAAGTAGATCTAATTCTTCCCCTTGTTCTCCTCTTCTTCAGTTTTAAATAGGAACAGCCTCAGCCCTTACCCTGTTGGTCAAATATTGTTGCATGTATAAGTGTTTAATCTCATCCCTCTTTGCAATCTCAAGCTCCATATCTGTTGGCTCTGTTTTTTCAAATTCTGATAACCGTGGAAGATCTAGACTGTATGTGGATGCCTTTGACGATCTAGACAAGGAATCTCGTGTTGTCAAATCCACATCCTTTCCAGAAGAGATTTTGAGGAATCCTCCGCCAATGCCTCCAGATCCTATCTGTTCCATCTGGGGGTACTCTTCATCCTGAGCTTTCATCTGCTGTCGCTTAAAAGCTATGAGAGTTTCCTCATCATACTGAAATCTCTTTTCTGGAACTTCTTCGGGGTGTATCTGAGGGATCTGAGGAATAGGGATGTGCTTAGATACGTGAAGACTCGACTGAATATTCTTCAGTTCTTGTACCAGGCACTGTATTTCCTCAATAACAGCCACTTTAAGGTCTCGAAGAGAGAAGATGCACTTATTCATGTGTATTTTCTTTCCATGGGCCTAAAAAACAGAACAGGAAGGGAGCAAAATGATAACATTCTCACAAAGGACAGAAATATGATTTGCTCTTGTCTCTTGAGTGGTAGGCTTAGCAAAAATTCAAGATAAAAATGTATCTGATCATCCCTGTTCACCACTAAGTTACCCTTTTCTCTAGCTTTTAGGCTTTTACCCATTTGGCCTCTCCAAGATGGGAGGACCTCTGTTATCCCTGTGCTGTCCATGGTGTTTTCTGTTCAGCTGACTCACAGGGCTCTGCTCCCCTGTTCTCCTCCCACCACTCATGGAAGCCCTTCCTGAAGCCTGTACTTGGCTGGATGGTATCCCCAGGGAGAGGAAAGCCATTCTTTGGTCAGGAACACACACATAACTGCCCTTCTCTGCTGGAACCTCGAATCCTTTGAGTGAGTCTTGCCAAGAGCTGCCTTCCTGGGGGACTATATTTTAGCCAATTTTCTTTCTGTATTTTGGCCACATGATTGCTGTTTTCCCTGTGCAGGCAAGGTCATTGATCTTGATTTTCAGTATCATGTCACACCAAGAGATTCCAGGACCTTCTCCATTTACCATTTACCTAAGCCAAGCTATACCCTGTGCCTCCAAACACAGTTGTTATCACACCTGTTCCTTCCATATTACTAGCTCCTCTCCACGGTCTGTGTTTTCTAAATGCCCTTACAAGACCTTAGGGCACAGGCAACCTTACTCCTGTGTGCAATTAGGCAACTAGATGCTCCAAAGGTCACTAATAGTTACTTTACATAGATACACAGGCTAAAAAAATAAAAGATCAAAAAGTACTTCTCCAAGCAATCCTAAAATTACCTATATACTTGCTATCTTGAAGAAAAACATTGTAACAAGATACAGGACATGTTTTATACCCTTGAGAACAAAGCTTTAAAGCATTCAGGACTTAAACTCTAAAAGCCAGCACTTAGGCGGTGACCACCTCTGAAACACCTGGAGGATTAAGGATTAGGCCTACAAGAAAGAACTCAAACCAGTCTTGCTGTACAGCCTTCCTCTTTGAGGAGTCCTCTTTATAGACCAACCTTTCTTCCTAAATTTCTAAATATGACACAAACAAACATGGCAGGTGTGTGTGTGTGTGTGTGTGTGTGTGTGTGTTATTGATTAAATTATGTTCTCAAAAAATACGTGTTGTAAATCCTAACCTCTATGCCTGTGGTTATAATCCCATTTGGGAATGGGTTGTCTTTGTTATGTTAGTGAGGCAGGATTAGTGTAGGGTGTATCTTGAGTCAATCTCTTTTGAGGTATAAAAGATTAAACAAGTGAACAGAGAGAGAGAGAGAGACGGGGGAAGATAGATGCCAAAAGACATGGAGATCTCCTAGGAACCAGGAAGTAGAAGCTGAAAAGACAAGGACTTTCCTCCAGAGCCGACAGACAGAAAGCCTTCCCCCAGAGCCGGTGTCCTGCATTTGGACTTCTAGCCTCCTAAATTGTGAGAAAATAACTTTCTGTTTGTTAAAGCCATCCACTTGTGGTATTTCTGTTATAGCAGCACTAGATAACTAAGACAGTGTATAATACACTATTTGTATAATGCTTGATACTTTTCAAATAACTTTAAAAGCTTTATTGAATTTGACCACTACAATAACCCTGTCAGGTAGATTAGACATTTCGTATTGTGGTTGATTGTTATTAATACCTTCTTACAGATGAGATAACAGATTTACATTACTTAGCAAAGGTCATATGGCTATTAAGTGGTAGAGATGAGAACAGAACTCTGGTCTTCTAACTTGTAGAACAGTGCATTCTACATTACTTTAGGGAGTCCCTGGGTGGTGCAAATGGTTAAGCACTCAACTACCAGCCAGAAAGTTGGTGGTTCATACCCACCCAGAGGTGCCTGGGAAGACAGGCCTGGTAATCTGCTTTTGAAAGGTCACAGCCTTGAAAACACTATGGAACCGTTTTACTCTGCACACATGGGGGTGCCATGAGTCGGAATCGACTCAACAGCCACAAACAACAACATTTTTGTGCTGCCATTTTAATAAAGCAGATTTCAGTGTAGTGCAATTGCGTTCAAGATAACACAACTGCCTATCTTCTCTAGTTAGACTGAAATTTCAGGTGAGATGACTGGAAAATTTTAGGAATAAGGACATTTCACTATGATAATGGATGGAACATGATGGATGAAACAAGAATTATCTTGACAAACAGCTAGAAAAACAGTCCAAATGATCACTAATAAAATGTTCAAAATGTTCATTTTGACTGTAAAGTTAAAGTTATGAGTTATGAAATGTGTTTATGGGTATGAATTGCCATGTCAGGGCCCACTGTTGACCTATACAGCATCTTTGGTGAAACAGAAAGAGACACACCTTCCTCAAGATATTTTACCACCATTTGTCAGAAAATTATAAAGTATACAAATATATCTGCAGTGTATTTGGCACCCAATTTGGCACCTGGAAATGTACAACCTGCACAACCATACTAGGAGACCCTGTGCCAAGTTCTCCTAAAAACGGTAGCTCAGGCGCCTTCTAAGCCTCAAAGCATAAAAAGTCACTTGTCAGTTCAATTATGGATTAAAGAATCAACATGTAAGGGAGAGCAAACTTTAGTAAGAAAATGAGGCTCAGAAATCAGGATGACTAGCAGCAGTTTGGAAGAATGTAGAGTTCAAAATGAATATATTAATTGGTTGCTATTGACTCACCCACAAAAGTCCTGCAAAGAAAGGTAGAATGATGACTTTTCTTCCTAAATCTTGGTACCCCACGGCAGCCCAAAGCTACAGCCAGTGAGGATGTGTTTGAGTTCCAGAGGACTAAGGTCCACAAAATATAATGCTTTCACCCATGAAACTGGTATTGAACCATGTAATTAATTTAAAGGCTGGCTCTGCCATGTTAACTGATTAATCACTGATATATCTCTTGTAATCCCTGGCTTCAGTTTCCTCATTTGTAAAAAGAGGTATTATTCTAGACAATCATGAACATCCTTTCCAATTCTAAATTTCTATGATGATATAGCCTTTTGGACTAGATAGGGAAATGTATGGTTCTAGAAGAATTCAACGAAAAATCTGGGTTGTTTTCTTACTGTCATGAAATATGTGGGCAAGTACCAGAGTGTCTAGGATTCCCAATTCCTCTTCCTTCTTGTCAGCATTTATTCTCATGTGCTCAGGTATCTTGTAGTCTGGGGCTGTCTTCAGATTAAAGTCTCCCATATGTGCCTGGGCTTCTTTGATGGCCTGAACATCTTTGGGATCTTCATAGTCATCATCAGGTTTACTCTTGTATCTATTAGAAAAATAGGCAAAACCCTCAAATGTAACAGTACACTCTCTAGTTTATCTACTTTAATATAGATATACATTCAAATTCAATAAAAAAGCAAAAGTACAATTCTGAGTCTGTGATGCCACTTTTCTCTATACATCCTAAACATTTATTAAAATTAGTGACTATTTTAAAAGCATACTAAGCAAAATAAATCAATCAATCTGATCACCAGATAGCACTGAAATAATCTGATTCATTGTTAGGCTATTGTTTAATTCCAGGCAATTCACATTGTTATTTGTTCCCTTCTTACAAATTAAACCTTGGAGATGGGGTGATTTTTTTAATCATTAAAAAGTTAATTATACTATAGCTAATAAATGAATTCAGCAAAGTTACAGAGTACAAGGTCAATACACAAATATTAGTTGGGTTTCTATACATCAGCAATAAACAATCTGAAAAGGAAATTAAGGAAACAATTCCATTTATAATAGCATCTAAAATCATAAAAAACCTAGGAATAAATTTAACCAGAGAGGTGGAAGATTTACACACTAAAAACTATAAAACATTACTGAAAGAAATGAAAGAAGACTTAGTAAATTTAAAGACATTCCATGTTCGTGGATTGTTCATTAACTTAATACTGTTAATATGTCAGTATTACCCAAAGCAATCTATAGATTCAACATAATCCTTATCAAAATCCCAACAGCCTTTTATACAGAAATGGAAAAGTCAATTATGAAGTTTATACGGAATTGCAAGGGACCCTGTATAACCAAAGCAATCTTGAAAAAGAAGAACAAAGTAGGAGTCACAGTTCCCAATTTCAAAATGTACTATAAAGCTACAGTAATCAAAACAGTCTGGTACTGGTATAAGGAGAGACATATAGACCAATGGAATAGAACTGAGAGTCAAGAAATAAACCCATATGTCTATGTTCAACTGATTTTCAACAAGGGTGCTAAGTCCTTTTAATGGGGAAAGAGTAGTTTCTTCAATAAATGGTGCTGGGACAACCAGATCTCTACATGCAAAGGAATGAAGTTGGAGCCATACCTCATTCCATATAAGAAAAATAACTAAAAATGAAACAACAACCTAAATGTAAAACTCTTAGAGTAAAACATAAGGTAATGTTTTAGACCAGATTCTTAGATATGACACCAAAAGCATAAGCAATAAAAGGCAAAACAGCTAAATTGGACTTCATCAAAATTAAAAACTCTTGTGTATTAAAGGCCTTTATCAATAAAGTGAGGAGACAACCTACAGAATGGGAGAAAATATTGGGAACCATATGTTTGATAAGGATTAAATATCCAGGATATATAAAGAACTCCTACAGCTCAACAGCAAAAAGCCAAACAACCCAATTAAAAAATAAGCAAAGGACTGGAACAGACATTTCACAAAAAAAAGATACGCAAATGGTCAATAATGACATAAAAAGATGCTCGATGTCATTAGTCATTAGGGAAATGAATATGAAAACCAGTGAAATACCACTTCACCTTCTACTAGGATGGCTACTAGCAAAGAAAAAAAAAAGAAACGAAGAAAAGAAAAATGGAAAACAACAAGTATTGATGAGGATGTGGAAAAATTGGAGCCCTCATGTATTGCTGACAGGATTGTAAAATGGTGCAGCCACTGTGGAAAATAGTTGGATAGTTCCTAAAAAAGTTAAACATAAAATTACTATATGACCCAGCAATTCTACTCCTAGCCATATACCCAAAAGACTTGAAAGCAGGGACTCAAACAGATACTCGTATACCAATGTTCACTGCAGTATTATTCACAATAGCCAAAACGTAGACGCATTCCAAGTATACACTAACCAATGAATGGATAAACAAAATGTGACATATACATACAATTGAATATTATTCACGCATAAAGAGAAATGAAGTTCTGATACATGCTATGACACAAAGGAAGCTTGAAATCATTATTCTCAGTGAAATAAGTCATACACAAAAGGACAAATATTGTATGATTGCACTTAGCTGAAATATCTAGACTGGCAAATGTATAGAGACTAAAGTTTATTAGTGGTTACCAGGGGCAGGTGGGGGCGGGGGGAATGGGGAGTTACTGTTTACGGGTTACTGATTTTCTGTTAAGGGTGATGAAAAAATTTGGAAACAGTAGTGGTGATGGTTGTACAACACGGTGAATATAATTAGCGTCACTGCTTTGTCACAAAAAAAGGTTGAAAAGTTTTGTTACATATACGCTACCATAAAAAGTTAAACTTTTTTATTACATATGCAATTGTGATAATATGTTCAAAAGAGGCATCTTTTGAAAGGTGATAGTGTGAACATATGTATTTGCCTTCCCTTCTCTCCCCAGATTCCAAAGACATGACAGTATAGAGGTATAGAAGTAATACATAATTAACAGGGCTGAGAACGGGATAGAAATCCATGAGCAAACCAATGATGTTGATACATTTCTGTAAGATGAAATCATATTAATAGATCAACCTGAGCAGAGAAAACTAGCCCAGAATACCCACAGGAGAAGGCTACAAAAAAGATTGAAAGTGGTCATCTTGGTAGCATCCCTGGGAGGCTTCCGGCAGAGTGGGCAGGTACAGATACTTGAATTGTATACTAAACTGTATTTGGTGAGGTTAACTAAAGGATTGACCCAGTTGGGCCCTCCCATCTTTCCCATCTCTGGTAGCAACCTCTACACCCAGAATAAAATTGACTAGAACCACTCTCTACAGATGTAAACTGAACTCTCTGCTTGGGAAGGACTAAGGTATCCGGGGTATGAATTAGCACCTGATTTAAAGCTCTTATTTTGTTATTAGCAGACCCCAATTTTCCTGCCTGATTCTTTAAAGGGAAGTCTGCCAGCCAACATGTACTTGTACACAGAGTTAGCCCTTTCCTTTAGGAGTAAGCCCTTTTAGAAAGCAAAATATATATAATAGCAGAGAAAACCTATAGCAACTATTGTAATAATTGGGAAATCCTTTATTTATGTATGGTGGCATAAAAATAAAGGATTAATAAGAAAGAAAGGAAGGAAGGGAGAGATGGAAGGAGGGAGGGGGGAAGGGAGTGAAGGAGGGAGGAAAGAAGGAAGTAAGAGATAAGGAGGAAGGAGGAAGGAAGGAAGAGAGAAGGAAGGGGGAAGAAGGAAGGAAGGAATACTTGCGCTTCTGGTTGTGAGAGAGAAACACAGCCCAGAATTATCCTTATGCCATAAACAAGTATAAAACTGAACAAAAATATAAGAAACTACATCCAGAAAGAACAACGGGCAGTACAAGACTGTAATTCCTGAGAAAAATGAAACAAAATTAGTAATCTTTACTGTTTCTGGGTTTTCTGCCTGTAGGAAATTACCAGACCGTGGCATAACGCAGGAATCCCAAGCATAGCGCAGTGATCTAACTGCGTTGAAGAAAGAGAGATCAGAGTTCAAGGAGGCCAGAGTGATTAGAATTTGTGGAAAAGGACATCAGAGAGGAGGGAGCTCCAGAAATCTACTTTGGGCTCTCTTGAGTATTAATCTGCACATGGGTAATGTGAAATCCCATGCCACCAAGAATGAAGAATCGGGAGGGGAGAGTGTCCTTTGGACATGGGGCCCCTGCACTGAGAAGCTCCTAGACCAGGGGAAGATTGATGACAAGGACTTTCCCTTAGAGCCAACAGAGAAAGCCTTCCCCTGGAGCTGGAACCCTGAATTCAGACTTCTAGCCTCCTAGATAGTAAGAGAATATATTTCTCTCTGTTAAAGCCATCCACTTGTGGTATTTCTGTTATAGCAGCACTAGATGACTAAGACAACAACAATAAAAAGAAGAGCTACTATCATGGATTGAATTGAGTCCCCCCAGAATATCTGTCAACTTGGCTAGGTCATGGTTCCCAGTATTGTATGCTTGTCTACCATTTTGTCATCTGATGTGATTTCACTATGTGTTGTAAATCCTATCACTCTGATGTTAATGAGATGGGTTAGCAGCAGTTATAATGATGAGATCTACAAGATTAGCTAGTATCTTAAGCCAATCTCTTTTGAGATATAAAAGAGAGAAGTGAGTAGAGAGCCATGGGAACCCCATACCACCAAGAAAGCAGAAATGGAAGCAGAGTGTGTCCTTTGGGCCCAGGGTCCCTGCACCTGAGAAGCTCCTTGACCAGGGGAAGACTGATGACAAGGACCTTCCTCCAGAGCCAGAGAGAGAAAGCCTTCCCCTGGAGCTGGCATGCTGAATTTGGACTTGTAGCCTAGCAGACTGTGAGAGAATAAATTTCTCTTTGTTAAAGCCATCCACTTGTGGTATTTCTGGTATAGCAGCACTAGATTATCAAGACAGTTACTAAACCCAAATTAACTAGAAGGAAGGAAATTATAAAAAACAGAAATTAATGACATAGTAAGCAGACAGACAAACAACATTAAAAAAATGTATAACTAAAGGCTAGTTCTTTGAAAACATCAATAACATAGATAAACCCAGACGCAAATTCACAATATCATGAATGAAATATGGGACATCATGATGGATCCCACAGAAATTAAAAGAATAATAAGGAAAAAGTATGAACAAATTTATGCTAATAAATTTGACAACCTAAATGAAATACAAAATTTCTTGAAAGACACAAATTACCAAAACTAACTTAAGAAGAAATAGAAAGTCTGATTAGGACTATAGCAAGTGAAATTTTGAATCTTTATTTTAAAACCATCCCTCAAACAATACTCCAGGCCCAGATGGCTTCACTGATAAATTCTACCAAACATTTAAGAAAGAAATAATACCAATCCTAGACAAACTTTTTGAGAAAACAGAAGAGAAAGGAATACTTCTTCATTCCTTTTATGAAATCAGTATTACCCTGATAAAAACGAGAAAAGACATTACATGAAAATAAAACTACAGATCAATATCCTTAGTTAATAAAGATACAAAAAATACTTAACAAAATACTGACAAATCAAGTCCAGCAATATTTAAAAGCATATTATGC